AAAAAAAAAAAAAAAAAAAAAAAAAAAAAAAAAAAAAAATCTGTCCAATAGGGTTTTGGAAAAATATATATAGGGTCTTTGCGAAAAAATTATAAAGTATTACTAAAGAAATTTATAGACCCTAACATAATAATTGGTTCTACGGTAACCTGTATGATAATTTGAAGTGACAGTCAAAGTTAATAATTAATAAACACTTGATCATAGTATTTAGTAAAGCAAAAAATGAAGAAATAAGAATAAATTAATCTACTATGTTAAAGTAGCTATCATAAATATAAATTTAATAACGAAAATAAGATCTATGTAATGTAAAAACATTGAGATATTGTATACGGAATAATGAATAAATTTGAAGTGTATTTAAAACGGGTAAAAAGGTACATACTGAATGTGATGTATAAGTTAAAATATAATTAGATGTAGAGATAAATCTATGTAGATAATCAAGAAATTGTGAAATCCAACCACCCTGATTGTAACAGACAGAAGGCAAATGCTCATCGAAAAGTTAATGTATGTAAAGTTCTAATAATTGTATAAACATCCCCCTTGTAACAGGCTATTGCTATTACGTTAATAAACATTCTATTCTATTCTATTCTATTCTTTGTATGTCGAAATAAATTTTCTAAAAATGTGTGCTTTAATAAGCTATAAAAAAATATCATGTGGATATGTCTTGTAAGTAATGTCTCTCCTGTTGTAATTTTCTCATGTATTTTGTTGCTTCTTCATCCATTCCAAAAGAAAAAAAATTGCATTTATTCATTTTAATAAAATTTATTTATTTTCAATAAAATTGCATTTTATTCGTTTTCCGAATTTTGACATACTGTACAGTAAATACATTTCATCAATATATAAAATCCAGTTTCTTTTCACATCAGTTTCTATTGTCCTCAGATGGAATCTGGTTTTTTCTTCAAGTATTTGTGCAAAATAATGTCATTATTTTGCATAAAAATCTTTCTATAAAAAGAAAATGTGTTACTGTGATTAAATTATACATGAGAATAAATCTTATCTTTATAGAAAGTTGTTTGTCAATATTAATTAATTTGTAGTATGAATAATGTTGGCTATTACCAACAAGCACCGATAAAAATGATTGGAGAAAAAATATTATAAAGAAAATTAGAGATATTTTGGGATAATAAATCCAATAATAATGGTTATCCAACGTAATAGAAATAATCGATAAACATATTCTCGCAAACTGTTTCGCCCATATAACTTCATTTAGGCAATTTTGGGAAGTTGCATCTTCTCTTATTTGGTTGAAATTTTCAAATTGTCTTTCCGTCCGTTCTTCGTTAATCTCGAGAATACACTTAGGAAGATGGAAAATCATCAGAAGCTATGGAAACGATAGGAATTGGGGCCCCAATTTATAACATACGTACGTCTGGTCTGGAGTGGAAGTCACGCGATTTCAATTCAAAATATTCTCGAAAACAGAGTTAAATATATGAAAATCAGACCAGAAACGAAGGTTTCAGGGGCCGACAGCCTCAATTAATTTTTAAAATATGGTTAAATGTTTAAGTCAGGCTGTGTGACGATGTCACAGTAAATAATTAAGATATTTTCGATTATAATATCACTCCTAACTAAAGTTGTAAATTATTACTCTATCCGGGATTATTGTTATCACTATCAATAAACCCGGCGTTGATTAAAATAATAATGTTTTAATGATAATGATGATATTTACAGCAATAAATTTCTATTTAATTATTTAATTTTTTTGGTGTGGAGGATCCCAACCGACCAACCCATATAAAATTTTAAGACACAAAGCATCCAATGGGCAACGGTGTAAGGTTACATATCTCTATCACTTATACGATTATAATTTGTGAAATTTTTCAGTCGATCCCAGGGAGATGCGAGTGCCCGTTTGCACCTATGCAGCCGCTCGTGGATCCTTATAATTGTTTCATAGAGTAATGCTCTCTTGGGCTGTGGCTCTAAAAGTGGTGCCAACACAATACTCATTTAAATGGACCACTCTGTTAATCTGAGTCCCACTAATGAAAAACATAGGGGAGAAAACTGAACATGGGAGACTGTTCCCTTAACAGATGCTCTGTTAAGTAGACTTGACTATATTAGGTACGTATAAACAGCTACAAAAATAATCATTTTTCCCATTTATATTAAAAAAAACAACGCAATAAAATTATCTGAATATCATTCAAAATTAAAAGCAATGTTGAAATATTGCAATGAAATGATTTAACCAACAACTTATTCATTTGTCAATGAAGTGGTAATTTTATACGTATTTTACGATAATTTCATTTATATTTTTTACTTCAAACAAGACATATTTATAAAATCACATACATAAATTATTTGAAAGATAAATATTTATTAAATTAATCAGAAACAAAACTTAAGATAAGAAAACATTTAATTACATGCATTACCTATCTAAAGTTAAAATAATGTTTTGAAATTACATAATTAGGATAAATTATCAAAGTATTAATGATCTAATAGGAAAAAATCATTTGTCTTCATTATTAGTAGTTAAAATTATTGTTTTTAATACGTAACAAGATAAATTTACATAAATATCAATATAGTAAACGTCTTTAATTAATATGAAACACACAAAAATTATCATCGTTGAAAATGTAAACATTAAAAACTATAATACTATAAATTTCATTTGTATGGAATACTCTTTGTATGTTGAAATAAATTTTCTAAAAATGTGTTAAAACATGGAACGTTGTTCAAGAAATCAAACAATTTATTAACGAAGAATTAGGTCTAAAAAATATAGAAATTGAAGGACTAGTTCAACTTAAAAATAGTAAGAATAACCTAATAATAAAAGTAATTCTGGAATCTGTAAAAGATAGAAATTTAGTTCTCAAAAGATTTTGGACTTTGAAACCAAAAATTGTTAATGAAACCGAGAAAAAAATAATAATTACAACGGATTTGTGTATTAGATCAAGAATTAGAAGAAAAAAANAAAAAACTGTATATGTATGCATAGGTTTTTTTTTTGTTTCTTAAATCATAGTCTCCGGGCGAGACAGAGTTCTGAGGTGGCAACCCTGGCGTAGTCTGATTGCTAATTTCCTTCTTTCCGTTCTCAGTCGTACTTTGCTGAATAGCTTTCGTCTTAAATGAAAAATGCTCACAATTTCTCTTAATTGTTTGATCGAAAAAGCTGTATAAACAAAATTCTAATATGAATTTCAGTGCAACTGACCAATGATAAATATTTGATTTTTGAATTTGGATGTACAGTACAGTAAATACAATTCATCCCCATAATCGACATTTATGCTCAGGATTCATGTAACTTTTCAAGGGACAGTTGAAAACTTTAGCAAACACTGGTGAATTCATTAGAGGATCCAGGACTCTAATCAAAATAAACAAAATGTACAATTATTATTAGTTTAGTATTTTATTTCTTTTGTAGCCTTATCCATGATAAAAGTCTCTGTCAAAAATTAAATAATTAACTTTGATTTTATTTTAAGCATTTCAGTGTTCATTATTTCCAGGTTTTGCTTTCTGTCATGATAAAGATTGTTTATTTTTCTATTATTACCTATATTTTCCAGGGCTATGTAGATCATCTACAAAAAGTTTCTTATTTGAATTAATATATTTTGAATTATTTTTGGCAAATCAAAATTTTATAATGTTTTCATTGTTGTTTACTTATTTTCCAGATTTTTATCAGAATACCAATAAGGTTTTTATAAAACAAAGCATATTAAGCAATATTAACTTATTTGTAATCACATTTCAAATGTATGAATTAACCTGAGCATATCCAATGAAAAACATTTGTTTGTTTGTAAAGTCGAGACCAGGAATATGAGGTTCTTCTCCGTGGCGTTTAAGATATTTCTCGTAAGCCTGCCCTAAGTCAATTATACGAAAACTATTAGAAAAAATCTAGAAGTCAAAAAGCATAAACATAAAAGATGATAAAAGCATAAATGATGATTATTACCCGGAAAGCAACAGTGACTCCACTGTTGTCTGCGATATTATCGAAAATTGTTTGATTTCCATCTAAAACCATTGTATTTATTTTTTTATGTTTTTGGAAACGAAAGATAAAACACGTAATTGAAATTTTCAAAATATGTAATCGTTTAGGAAAACATAGAATACCGTGAGATTTCCTTCTAATGGAAATTCCGAGTATTGAAATCGCAGACAATTTATCTTTTTCTTGTATTCTATCAAAAATTCTTCAGGAAAATCTATGTTATCTCCTACTTCATCAAGTGCCTCTGTTGAATTTTGCGTATCTTCTTCTGATGCGGTATTCTCTTCTGATCCATATCCTATTAAAGTATTTAACAGATTGTACAGAAAATTTATATTTTTTGTACAATCAAAATTTTTACAAATTTTTTTACAATTTAGTTAAAAAGCAATATCTTGATTAATTATTTTTTATTTGATATAAAAGTAAATGTTTTAACTTAATAATAATAATAATAATAATATTATACGTTATTCTATTCTGGTGCGGTCACTGCATTTAGGGGAGACCGGGGCAAAATCGGCATGTTAAGCTTTACTTAATTTTTTGTAATAAATACTGCTGTAAACTGAAAAAAAAGCTTTGCATATTGTCTATTGGAATGTTTTCTTACTATAGAACTGGTTAAAATCAGTTTGGAAATAAAAATAATTAAAATAATTACAACTTTACAAGAAGAGAGAAATTGACGAAGTTGCCCCGGGTATAGGGGCAAGATCGGCAACTTCTCTCTTTTTGTAAAGTTGTAATTATTTTAATTATTTTTATTAAAGTTGCCCCTGGTATAGGGGCAACAGTAATGGG